ACGCCATCACTCGGTCGCTGTCTGGCTTTCTATCCACCAAGCTCGCCTACATGGCTCATTGACCGCACCACTCTGTCAAGACAGACGCGACATTTACGACTTGACTACCCCATCGGATCTGCAGCCTGGCTCAGGCTCCGAGCAGATCGTAACGACTGCATGATACCTGGCCCAGGCTCAAGATGAGCTCTGCAGGCCTACATGGTGCTGATCAGCCCGTCTCCAGAAATGAAGAGGAAGCCACATCTGCCGCAGGTCATGGCGGCGATTATTCTGGACCCCACAAGCCAGACAGTCTCGGTGTCAACGACGCGTCAGCTGAGGATGCGGAGACGAATCTTTCCAGCGCCACTGAGATGCTATCTGGCCAGGCCGATGACAAGGTGGTGGGCACAGAGATCGAGCCACCTCGCTCGACCTTGTCAGAGGATCCGACTCCGAATCTCGCTTCGCTTCAGGCGCCAGCAGCTCCGACCATCACCATCGAAAGTCAGCCACAGCAACCTGACTTGCTAAACGCGTCGAATGCCCCCATTGCGGGCCCCTCGAATGCAATTAACGATGTCTACTCCACCCCGCCTTCCATCCGCAAGCGTCGCATGCCTCCTGGCGGTCCCAAAGGAATCCTCAAGCCAGCACCGCCCCCCTCCAAGACCTTTTCCTTCCGCAGAGATATCCTGCAGTCTCTGAATACGCGCTTGGCCCAAGGGGGAGTGGGCGTGCAGGTTCCAGTGCCTGCTGGGAGCAGCCTGAGCGCACTCAGTGGGTCAGCACAGGGCACAGCTCAAGCAGCTGGAAACCTCATTGGAGGAGTGTTCAAAAGGTTGGGAGGCCTGGCGGCGGGGGTTGCTGTACCGGGAATGGGTGTGGATGAACAAGCTCGCTCTGCATCTCGGCCATTTGCAAGCTCGAACACCGGCGCTCCTTCACAGAGAGGCGGTGTAGCCCTCAATTCTCCGACCAGTACATCTTCGCCAGCGTCATCAGCCTTTTCGGAAGCTTCGCTGCTCCCGACCAATACCCTACCAGCCCCCGCCTCGAGTCCGAGGCCCTTGCGGCGGGTGCAGTTTCGGGTCAATTCGATGCGCATCACCTACCCCATACATGGCAGCATCGCACCTGGCGATGAGGACGCTACTCGCAAACGCGTCGAAAAGGAGCATAGGGAATGGTTGAGGCAGAGAAAGGAGATGGCTTGGGCTGTGCCGGAGCTCGAGAAGTTGTATAGGGAGTGTTGCAGAACACGGGAAGAATATCCGCTCAAGAAGATGCGGGCAGTCTTCGAGGTGAGTTGCGAGTCGAAGACGGCCACTTGGTTTAGAAGCATGTGCTGATACGAAGGCGCTCTGTGTGTTCTATGATGACACATAGGATGCGCAAAGGTCTGCTCCTCCTGCGCTGCGAACTATGGACTTGTCCTTTGTTCCTTTGGACCGAGCAGCGATAGAGCCGATATCGGACTTGCTTAGCATCGATTTCAGTCTGCAAAAGCTCGTCCTTGAGAATTGTGGCTTGACTGATGATGTGAGTGTCTGACGATACAGCTTCGGACCTGCTGTGCAGCGCGACCAGCTCGCTTACTACGTCGGCACCGGGACAGGGCTTGAAATCCATCCTACACGCTCTGCTTGTCTCTGGTACTCTTCCAACCCTTTCACTGGCTGCCAATAGGAGGATCAAATACCACGGCTGGCGCTTCGTCGGCATCTTCATGCGCCGAGCCCGAGCGCTGCGGTATCTCGATCTGAGCGAAAACTCGATCAACAAGGCGAGCTTGGAGCATATCACCGGCGCCATCGCCAGATCCACACCTCTCTTGAAGGGTAGCGCTGACAACGAAGACTCGAAGGATGCAAGCGCTCCCGAAGGCAAAGCGTCAGACGCTGGAAGACCGGGCATGGACGATATCGTGGCGCGGCACGACGAGTTTGACGACGAAGGTCAGCCCTTGATGCCCGACGCCGAACTTCTTCGGGAACGGCAAAACAAGAGCAGCGGCATCGACGCTGCAAACGGCTGCGACGACGAGACTCTGGTGTCAGGGGTCATTTCGCTGCGCTTGGAAAATTGCAACCTGAAGACCAGCTCT